TTTGGAGATTTAACTATTGTCTATTTAAATAATTTATTTGTATACTAAAAATCTATATACTAGTATACTTTCATATAGAGTACAGAAATAAATAGAACATTATGTTAACAATAAACACAGTAGCTTAAATGTATACATTTATCTAGTCATTAAATGTTAATTAGGAATTAAAAAAATGTATTCTGTGGCTAGGTGTGTTATATGAAACAGTATACAAGTAATTAGTATATTTTGTTCCTAAACTAATAAGTAATAACAATTCAAACATTTTTGATTTTTATAAAAATATACATATAAAATTACTGGATATTGCACTGTTAAATGCATGGGACAGAAAAACCTTATGAAAAAATAAAAAATAATCTTCAAAGGGTTTCATTTGTTCACTTCAAAAGTAGTTTATAGCTCTGTTCTCCAATAGATGAATATATTGATAATGACAGAGAAAAACTTCTGAAAATTAAAAGTTATGGATATTATTATTCCATCAAATAAACTGTACGAGATAATTTATCACTTAAGTAACTAAATAACAAAATAACATAATTTAAAATCACATTTTGGAACAATACTGAAGAAAACATAACCTAATACATTTTTTTTTATGAACAGCTTGAAGATACTATATGTAAAAAACTAACAACTGAACATTTATACCTACACCAATTTACTTTTTGATATAATGAATTATCTAATAACAGAGGCAAGTATTCAACTCATAAGATGTAAGAAGCATGCTAAAGAAATTACTTGACACATAATTACATTTTACCTCTAATGTAGAATAGATTTTGCATGTAATGAAGCAAATTCAACTAAAGAGATTAACAATAAAAATAAACTTTTATCAAAAAAATCAAAACTACATTAATAAAAACCTAAAAAGTTGTTTAATATTACCATCTTAATGATAAAATACAGTCTAATAATTATCGGAAGTGTATAGTTACTAATATAATGTGTGTGCACTTTTTTCTACGTCTTCTTTTGAAAGTCTTCTGTGTTTATGAGTAAATAGCAACGAATCAATATAGAGTTTAATCTCTTTTCTATGATTGGTACACAATTAAATAAGCACGTTGAGGTTAAGATTTAAGACGATTCAAAATAAAACAAATAAAAAATAAAACATTACATAAAATACTAAACGAAACACATTAAATAATCTGTGGTTTTAACTTAAAACTTTTAAGCCTTCGCTACCGGTGGAATTTATTTGAACTAAAAAAGTGTCAAGTGTAACCAAGAATTACGCTTTTGATATTTCTTTTTAAGTGGTAAAGTGTTATCACCTATTCTTCTCTACACCGTGGTACATAATAATAACAGTAATAATAATTTATATTTAATCTTAAATTGTTGATATGAAATCAATTTATTATTATCGATTGATAATTATCATAGTCGCTAGTAACTAAATAATTCTAAATTTCTGTGCCATTAAAACTTAACATCTAAGCATCATTCTTATCCACTTACTATTCAAACGTTATTATTGTTAAGTTTAAACTTGAAAAATTAATGCCATGGCTATAATGCACGAGCCTATAGACGATCCACAGTTAGTAGCTGCAGCCAATGTTTTTGTTGATGATATAATAGAGACGGCTAAAGCCGAAGCAGCCCAACGGATCACGGTAAATACAACATATAAGTATTATATTTATGAATATCCAACATAGTAACATCTTTTATCTAAATAAATTGTAAAAATGTAAAATGTAAAATTGTAACTCTTAAGCTACTTAATACTATAAATTTATATTTTAGTTTTATACGAAAATATTATTGATTTTATGTTAAGAGATATGCAGTATTGCTCATTTTTAATTTTTTAAAAAATTATTTAAAAAGATTATTATCAGAAGATAGAGAATCACAATAATAAGGAAAATTTCTTATGTGGATGGTTAAAAATTTAACTTAATTGTTATCAAAATTAAAATATATTCAACTCTGCCCACCCACCTTAAAAAAATGTATAAAATACTAAGTGTAAAATTTTAAAATTTGTTTTCTAACCATCATTGAATGGTACATTAAATTAACTAGAGTACTTGCAACACTTAATGTTAAGTTTTCAATTCATCATTTCTGTAAAAAAAAAAAAACATTAAACACATTTATTAAAAACATGTACTATTTTTCATAACATTAAACCAGACTGAAGACAGTGCATCTTATTTCAGACTAATTTTATATTAAAATATTGTGGATAATTCTCCCTTAAAATGTACTTAAAAATATTCAGTAGCAAGATTCGACAATAGTTTTTTATTTTTTTTTGTCTTCTATTTTGAAGATTATATAATCCCTAAATTCCAATCTTTAAGCATACATTCATTGTTTTATACATATACTAAAAGGTATATTTTTGACACTAGATTTTTTCCTGCCAGTTTAATTAATTAATTTTAGGTTAATGTCATTCTCTCCTGGGTCTTTAAAATGTTAGATTTTTTGTATTAGTTATATAAGTTAAATATTATTTTGTAATACCATTATTAATAGTATTATTATTAAACTTAAAAAAGTATAAGAATTTTCGCATATTTTTTAGCAACAATTTAAATAAAGCCCATAAAATAACATGGACTATTTATCATCCTCCTATATTTTAAATCAAATAATTATAAATAAGAACATTTTTTTTTCTTATTTCCTTATTTGCTTGCTATTGTTACTTTTAATTACTTTATTTGTGTTCTTATTAGATTTATATTTCATGTATTTAATAAGTAAATTACATTTAATTACATTTCATTTTCAGACCAAATGCAATGGAGGATCTCATTTACGTATGTTGAACTTTAAATTACTTTTTTTAACGATTAAATATTGTTTAATATTTTAATGAATTTTTACATAGTTAATGCAAATATCAAAAAAATGAATGAGTGGCAGAATCGAGCAAAAGGTGTATTTAGGCGTTTTATGACTACCATCTGCGTACGATTTCAAGATCTCACTTCCAAATAATACAATATTAATTTATGCAAATAATTATTAGAATGATAATGGTTTACAATATTTCCTTAGATTAGTCTCTCATAAGTTTCCATAAGTTATGTATTATATTAATCATACAATACAAATAATTGTCTACAGAAAAAATAAACTATAATTTATGTGTCATTCAAAAATGTGTTAGCAATAAAATAATTATAAGTATACCCATGTATAATGTTTCACTATAATTATTATTATGAGTCTAATATTTATGTATAAATATTGGTGCAATACATACAATTATATTTACTTTAACTATTTAAGTATTGCAATTATTGAAACTAGCACATTATGCACATTTCAATAATTATTTAGGAAAATGTTATATTATTTAATGCTATAAATTAAAATTGAAATTCTCTCTTTTATTTAAGTTTTCAATATAAAGTAATATTTTAGTATGCTTTTCTTGTGTATTAATATATTATACATAGAACCGATTAATTTCCAAATATTTATTTAAATCAAACTTAGAGGTATAGAAAAAGAACCATAAATTTCTAATTAATGTTATTTTAATGAGTTTAATCATTTTCTGTGTTATTCATTATGAACTATATACCATAATTAACCTTAAAAGTTACCTTATCCTGTAATCCTAAGTCAATTATGTTAATTTGTGTTATTTTACTTTGACAATCAAATATTATGTGTTTATAACTTAAAATATATTATGATTTATGTTAATACAATTATATTTAAATCAATATTAACCATCTATTTATTAAGTAATTCAATAAGTATTGATACTTGTTATTATTTAAATCTGATATATAGTGACCTTGATTCTTGAGTATGAATTATTCTATTATAATTCTAAATTTATTGTGAATCATAAAAGTATGTGTAGTTTGTAAACAATTTCAATTAAAAATAATTTATTATTTTTCATTTAAATTAAATTTTTATTATATTTTTGTTACAAGATATTTTAAGTAATGAGTGAAGATAAAAGACAACAATAATTAATATTCAATCATTTCTCCCTTCGTCAAATTTTTATTCAAAAAACAATTCATTAATATTATTATGTTCATTATTAATTCAAATTTTAGTTAACACCAAATTATATTGATTATTTGCATCCAGTTAATATATTTTTTTAAGCAAAATAAGCCATTTGTATCAAATAATACATAATAAAAAAAACTGTACATACAATCATTTAATTTGTTTACATTATTCTGTAAATCAAGATTGCTGCGGCTACACATATTTTGTAATGATTATTAATGAATAAACTACTTGTTTTAAACTCTATAAATAACTTATTATGTTTGTTTCATTTTACAGGATATACATATAAGGATGTTATAACATAAAATTATCTTATATGATTTTATTCCACATATCATTTATGTTTACATGCATTTTTAGTTTTTACAAATAAATTATAAATGAGGAAAAAAATGTATGATTAGTCAAGAGATATTTCAATAATAAAGTTTATTAGTAGCATTTATCTTATCAATGTGAATTTACAGTAATAAGTTATATACCTAATAAGCTAGACATAATGATCATTAAATGCATAATTAAATATAATGAAAATACTTAGCATTTGATTTTAATTTATGTATAATTTTTCTATTGTTATAAATATTATACTACATAATACATAAACAAAAAGTTGTATATTATAATAATTTTATCATAACCAAAAAATATACCTGAAAATCTTTGTGTATAAAATTGTTATTTTCACAGGCAAAATAAAATAAGAATATTAATTTTAAACAACCAGCTTATGTATAATAAAATAACTATACATTAAAGACAAATATGTTTTATCATTAAAATATATTACAAGTATTAATGTTTTATTTGGTTTTTTACTTAAACTATTTCTTGTTTGAAATTAAAAGATAATTTTAACAACTTAAATGTTTCTAAAAAATCTATTATAATGAATGAAAGTGATTAAAGTGGTATACAACATATATGAAACATATTTTTATCTGAATATAAATTAAAATTTTCAATTTTTATCTGTTGAACATTTATATTATTTATTATAGTTCACTTGAATATATAAAACTTATTATATAATAATGTACATGAATTATATACATAAAATTCAACATCCAGACTGTAAATTCATAGTAGAAATAGTTTTTGTTATCATAGTTGTTGTATTAAGACTTCTGTAGATACCAACTTTATAAGTTTCAAGTAACAAAGACAATGCCATTTCTAAAAAAAAAAAAAATTAACTTTTATCTTAGTTGAGTGGATATGATAAAATTGTTTAATACAAAAGCCAAAAATAAAAAGAGCCAATTATTGATAAATAGGAGAAATAATAAATATAACAAGTAAATGTACACTAATTATATTCACTAATTACAAACTTAGTTCACTGACTTTAAATAGAAAAATAGAAGAAAAAATTATAATTATTTTATTAATCACCTCTTGACATTGATAATGAATCAATGTGGTTCCTTATTGTAGTAGACACTTCATCATCATCAGATAATAGTGCACTTAGAATGCCTGGAACCAGCACAAAGTTGGTAGACGAATTACTACTATTAAATTGTAAATAATGCAGCAACAATCCAAGGGATGGCAATCGTACATGAGAACTAGGATTCCTGATCAGTGATATAATTTTATTCAAATATGGCTCAAAACCTCGATTATTTCGATAAGAAGAACGTTCTATTTCTGACAACACATTAACTGTAGTATCTTAAATAAAATAAAAAAATAGTTAATTTTACATTTACATTTACATTCAAAATAAAAAGAGAACATGATTTATTTTTACCATTGTGATGACCATCTTTAAAACAAGTACAAAATTTATCATATGCCAATAATTCATTTTGCATGTTACCTTGCGCTAAAACTATTACTTGATCATTTTGACAAATTAGCAAATTCAAATTCCCAATAGTTTTGTACCTTTCAATAATATGACTAACAACAAAATGGAATAATATTAAAAATATAAATAAAGTTTACAATAGAATAAAATATTTACCCAAACCAAATATTATTTGATTTAATAAATGCCATAGCATCTCGAGAATTTGCAGCAATATAATTATGTACGCGGTTACCAAATTTTGTTAAAAGTGTATTGAATTCTTTTCTTGTAGGACTCACGTTATTTAAATTATTCTAGATATTAATACAAATATTATAAAATTAGAATTAAATTAAATTAAAAATAATTTAAAAATGTTTAAAATAAAATATAGGAATCCATACACTTATTATAGTCAGAAAAATTCCTAAAAGTTTGTGAAGAGCATCGGTGTAAAATGGCAAGAAAACTGTAGGTTCTAAACTTTCTATTAAATCAAGAATATTATTAAGTAATAATAGATGGCCAGATTTCATTGCTTTAAACTCTAGATAACAACATCGGCGCAAAGGTGCGGATAAAAGTTCAAACACTCTAAAATTAAAATAAATAATAAATCATTTTATGTAAATTTTTGTCTAATTTATAAGCACATCATTACCTTAAAAAAAGTAATGGATGAGTTGTACATAATCTTTTTGCTAATATTTCATAATCATAAATTTTCTTATTTAATTCTTTGTCTCTTTTAATCTTAGTGGATACAATAGATGACACAACAGTATGTGAAATTGCGTCCAAAGCACAACCTTCACTAACTGATAAATTGAAAATAATAAAATTGTATTGATAAATTCATGATAAACTAAACTTTATTATTAAAAAAATAATTTTATTTTTTGTTACCTTTTATAATATTTGGATCCAAGAAACCATCCATATCATAGTACTGTAATTTACTAATGATGTTTGGATCCTTAGTATACACAAGACTTAAAATCTGTTTGAACACAGCAATATTTGAGCTGAAAAGTAAAATAATATGTTAAATAAAATTACTAGTAAATAAAATATAATCAACAACTTACCTATTTATGTATTTTAAATAAATATTATGAAAAATGTGAACACAGTTATTTTTTTTCAGGCAGTTTTTCAATATCACTGATAATTTAGTTAGGATAAATGTAGATAATTCTGCCAAATTTATATTTGAATCTTCATGTATCATTTTGCATTCTTCAATCATGTATAACAATAATGCAGTAAGCTTAAAAAATATAAAAAATAATATAAAATTAATTGAAGTGAACATTACCCTAATAATAAACATAATAACTTTAAAATAGTTAATATAAATAAAATATTATAAATTTAATAATTATTTGAATTTCTAAAGTTATGAAATAAATTAAATTTATCACGGTTAATATTGAATTATACCTGATGATCATTTAATAACATTAACCCTTCATCACTTGATTTACTTTTAGAAGCGTTAATTTCTCTACCTTGCCATAATTTTGGGTTTGTAGCAATAGCTGATATTAAGTCTAAAACTGAGGAAGGCTCAAACCTAAAAATACAAAAACAAGTTATTTCTTAAATCACATTGAACTTAAATTATTTTATCATTAGCTAATTATAAATCAATAATATATAAATTGGACTTAAATTAAAGCATTAAAAATTTGAAGACTAAAAAAATATACATGTAAATATAAATGTATAGTTTTAATTAATCTAAGATTAAAATATTTGTTAAATAAACTAACTTTTCAACATTTTCGGGTTCTAATAAAATGTCTAGAACACATTCCAGTGAAGACCAATTCATATGGTGATTTAGTATAGTCAATAAGTATGGTCTACAATTTCTTACAGACTCCCATTTCTCACATATATTTTTTGAAAACAACATATTTACCTAAAAATTAACAATTTTGATAACTGATTTAAAATCATTATTTTTTCAATTTAAATTATATGTAACCTGCTGATCAATTGTAGAATCTGATATTTTTAATTCAATTTCCTTAGGTAGATCAACAAAAAGTGAACGTTTTTGACCTTTATTTAACACATCCATTTCCATTGGTTGTGATTTGTTTTCCTTGATATTAGTCTGAGGTAATATATTTTTTATTTCATCTAATTAAAATAAAAATTAAAACAACAAATACAAATTACTAAATATAAAACTTACTATACTTATTTATGTAACTTATAATAATCATATGCAAATTATTTTGGGTTTTTTTAACATCCATTTGATCAAGAATCAATTTAACAATAGCCATTAATATTTTATTATAACCACACTTCATCATTAAGACTTTCAGTAAATGACAAGTTACATTTTTATTTTCAATGATAGAAAACATAAATTCTTTTTTAGCCATATTTTTTAACATTGTCATCATAAATTTTTTAACTAATAATTTCGTGTCTTGTGATAAAGACTGCAAAAATAAAAGTTGAATTGTATACAAAGCAAAATAATTAAAAGTTTTTACATACTTGTAACAAAGACAAAAATTTTTCTCCCTTCATTGTTGATATATACAAATTTTTCATTATAAGATCAACATTGATATTCTTATGTCTATCAATTAATGATATTGGGTTTTCTAAAATATTACAACGAAAAGTTTTATATAAATTAATAAACATTAAAATTTGATTTATAATATAAATTTATAATTTAAAAGAAAAAATTATTTATTTTTATAGCCAATGCATAATACAAACTGTATGGAAAAAACAGTAAATATTGATAATAAAGATTTAGTAAAATATACAAGACTATATATTTTTTTAGTTAACTCAAGTTATGGAAAATAATACATTATTACTAGTTCTTTATATTTACACCACACCTTTGCTTTTTAATCAAACAACAATCTAAAAGAATTATTAAAATACAGTATTATATTTTTAAAACCAAACATAATTAAGATAAAACTAAAATTTAAATTTAGTTTCAATGCAGCAAAAAATTTTAAAAGTACTATTTAATAATCAGAATGTTTAGTGATCCAAAAGAAAACGCATTGAGCAATCGTTGGCTGACAAAATTTCTTTTTATTATGAATAGAGTATAAAATGTAGGTATCACTAGCTCATACTACTACTACAACAACACATATTTAATAATATACCTTCAAGTGATAATTTCCTTTTATAGGACACTGGAGTTCCATCTTCTACTTCCATTGCCATTGATCCGTCATTTAATGTTAAAACTGATGAAAAGATTTGTCCTCCCAGAGCTCCACGTCTTTGCTGTACTTGAACAAGTTGTACCATATATGCTTTATCCATTACAGCAGCTTTAATAGCTTCAGGGTCAACACATACAGCTTTGTCCAATATTTCCAATAATTTGCTAAGTTTAAAATAATTATAAATTTTTGATAACCAATTTTCTTTCATTCTACAAAATATTTACCTCATAGATGCAACTGGTATACCAAAAGATTGAATAAACAAAATTAATTGAGGAGGTTCAAGATCAGTCAATGCTTCTTCAACTAGTCTTGGAACCCTAGACCTAATCATACGTAGTTTAAGCCAATCGGGTATAAGAAGAGCTTCTTCAGAAGTATCAACTAAATAAGCCTATGACAAAAACGATAATACTATACATAGTTATATATAAACAATTCAATTATATATATATAGTATATCAGTTTACTTTAGGCATTTGTTTTCGGTCTGTTGGAAACCAAGCTTCTAATAAATGATCAAATTTCATTGGGTCGTGAATACATTGAGGCCCATAAGTCAACAATATGATCATAGCGTGTACAACGAGAATATGTATAGTACATTCCTGCCCCCCAGGCCATGTTACAAGAATCTGATCTTGATTCTCAGACCAAGGATGATTTTGACGACAAGGCTCCCTAGCCTAAAATGAATAATGCCTTATTAATTTAAAATTTAAAAAAATAATAAAATAAAAATATATATTTACCCTGCATAAAAATGTATAAAATATACAAACTAAAGAGTTAAGTGCAATATTAAAAACTGTAACTATATCTGTTGATACAGGTAACACTGCAGCCATAACTGTACTCCGTTCAACAATTAGTTGTGCCATATCAAGAACCATATCAGTAAGCTGTTCATTTGTTAAACTATCTACTTTATTTACATCAGAAGTTCGTTCAGCCAAAAATGTCAAATACGCTGTTATCAAATGTGGATCATTTTCTACTTGGCAAGCTTGTCTCAATGCAATAACAATCTATAACAAATTAAATTGTTGATCAATAAAAAATTCAAAAATTTACATGTAATTGAACAATATAATTTCTATCAACTTCAAAAAAAACTTACTTGAGATTTAAAAGCTGGAAAATTTGGAAGTTGTGGTAAACTTGTTAATAACCATGAAACATCCGTTTTTGATTCAATTACTTTATCAATATCAATCATTTTATCATCAGTTGCATTTAAAAGCAATTTTAGACCCTTATAAATAATAATTAATCTTAAAAATTATTTTACAATAAATAAATGTTTCACTTACTAAAATAGCATGTTGTCTACTAGTCGGAGAACTTAAACGTCTCAAAAAGTATTCTAAAACTTCACAACTAATAGTTGGATCAGTTTCAGGATGCATTAACAACTTTCTTAGATGATTAAGTAATTGATTAAATTTACCTTGTTGTTGACAACTTGGACTTAATAAAAACTCACATAAACACTGAACCGGTAAATGACTAAAAATAAAATATTAAACATTTTTAAAGAATTTTAAAATATAATTTGAACTTATAAATATTTACTTTAATGATCCTTCAGATGAATTAACCAAATCAGCCAACCAAGGCATTGACTGTGAAGTACCTTGGCGTTGAATAATGTCCAAAAGAAAATCTGGGTCTCTTGATCGACATAACAAATGACCAACGCGTAGGTTTGTATTCATAACTCTCAACTGTTCTAAAATAGATGAAGGTGGCCGCCTAGGTGGACCAATAGGATCCATATCCATAAGCTGACTTAATAGTAAACTTGTCTGTTCAGTAATTGTAACCTTTGTAGAAGCTGCAGCCAAATAAGATTCAAATTCAAGTATTTTTTGTTTTTCAACTGATTGTAGTTGAAGATCTTCCAGAAATGTAGGAAAAGAAAAATTATTGGTTATACACATTTCAATGAAAATTCTTAACATCGGATATTTTCTGCAAGCAAGAGTTCCAAAAACAGAAGGTATATGAGCACAATATATTAACATTATCAACCACGTTTTCCAGTATAAATTTGATATTGCTAATTGCGGAGGTGTATAGCCTAATGGCAATTCTATTTTATCAGGATGATGATAAGCACAAGAATCCAATAATACATCAAACAAAAGGGATTTGTCAGCTAAATATAAGATAAATAAATACAATATTATTATATTTTAATCAAAAATGTACGGTTATCCAATTACCTTTTATAGAATTAAAATTTTGATACACTTGTAATGAAGCAGCACGCTTCACTAATTGATCTACTAGCTCTAAGGCATCTGGAGAACTTAAGGGATGTTCTTTTGATAATCCTATCATAAGTATTGTGATTACTGTACCCTGTAATAAAGGTGCTTCGGTAGCAATTCTAAATATTGTACTTCTATCTTGTTCAGGAGGCCAACTTTCTAATTTATAATATTGTTCAGATGATTCCATTAATAATATCTAAAATATTTATAAAATATTAATAATATACAAAAAATGTATATTATAAATATATGATTATCCTTTAAGAAAACTATACATAAAAAAAAATAGTAAATAATTAAACACATACTTTATGTAATGCATGAACAAAATCTGTAGGATTAGGTCGATAAGTTCTTAAAACACTATCTTGGAGCCATGCAACTCCATCTTTTTGAATTTGAGATATAACATGTTGCATTTTTTCAAACTATAAAATTATTATAATTTTGGTCAACAAATTTAAATTGAATAAGATATGAAATCTTCATACCTGTTGAACATCTTTTCGTTCTGAGCGCATATAAGGGTATACAGTTAGAAACATACATAATGTTAAAAGATCTACAATTCCAGCAAAAACTCTATCCTTAACTTCAGGTGTTTGGTTTAATGGTTCTTTAGCACCCATAAGTCCTTGACAAAAAGTCAAAAAGTTAAAATCTGAACGTACTTGACGCGAAATTTCCCGTAGCAGTCCACGTAACGGTCTCAAATAATCATCTCGTAATATTAATAATTCCTAGACACAATAATAAATTATTAACTTAAAAAAATAATTTAAAATAATATTGATAATTTAAACCTGAAAAATATCTGCTAAAAGTAGTGCACTATGATCTGGTTCAACTTTAAAAATAACTTGAAAAATAGCCATATTACTAGTATTACGTGATGTAGACATTTCATTATAAACTACATTTTTTAATATGACTGGCAAATTATTTGAATTTGCAATAATTAATTCTCTGAAAATTATAAAATACTAAGTGTTACTAATATTCAAAATCTATAAAGTTTAATAATGATTTTGACTGAAATTTTACCAAAAGAGTTATTGAAAATTTTTTTAATTGTATTTAGAATACAATTAATCATGGTATATTTTTAAATAAAATTATTAATTTCACATACTTGATGCATGATACATAAAAATTTCCCATTGATTTGGTTTTTAACCTCATTTTGACAATTGTAGAAATAACATCTAAGTCTCTTTGAGTACGAGAAGTACAGTTAACACAAACAGCTAAAAGTAATTCTTGTGCTGGCCGTACAAGTTTAGCATTTTGCAACCAAACTTCTAATTTCCCCGCAACCATAACACGAATCTTAAATTTTTAATTTGAAATAATAAATAATAATATATAATACAATAATAAATAAATCAATATTTTTGATAAATTAAACAATTTAGATATTATAAGACTAACTTCTAAAATTCCAGCAGAAGCAGCTAATAACTTTAATAAATTTCTAGATATTCCTTCAGTTGACTGTTTTCGGATCAAATATTCTTTTGCAACATCTAAAATTAAATTTTCGACTACCGCTTGGTTAGCTTCATATCTTGACACAATAGATACCTCATTTGATTCAGGGCATGATAATGCAGTTTCTACCGTATTCATTGTATCCAAAAAATCTAAAGGTATAAAGGGGGAAGACCGCGTGTTTAAGCTAATTTTAATATTATCAATAAAATAACGACATTCTTCATTGTCTACCCATAAACGTTCTCCCATAGAGTCTTCTATAAAAACCTTAACATAAAAAAAAAATTATTATAAATAATTATCATTTATATAAAATATAAGTTAATGGTTTAATAAATATATACTTTAACAAATGCTTCTGGCCACGTATTTAATCTATCATGTGAAGCTAATATTAAATTAACTGCAATAACTGCAGCGACTATATTATATTGACGATGTTTAGTTAAAGCGGTTGAATGACAAGTCAGAATAGAACACAAAGCATTTACAACTTCTTCATTCTGGAATAATGTAGGATATTGGCGAACAGCAATTGATAAACTCCAAAACAAATCCGGTTTTATTCGTTGCGTATGCATGATTTTAAAAGCACCAAAAAGTAATCCAACCTAATTATAAAAAGCTAATTTTAAAATTCTTCTAAGTAGGTATAATAAATTTCTCTGCAGGAAATGTATTTTAAATGAATATATAATAAAATTGGTTCAATTACCATGATATTACAATAAATTAAAACACCAAAAAATTATGTATACCAAGTTTATATAAATTATATACTTCTGTAAAAATTATTATTTAATAATTTTGAGATTATAATGTTTAATCATTGTTTTTAGAAACAATTATTTTTAGTTTATTTTTTTAAATTTAAATTTATTTTATAAATAGTTAAATTTTTAAATTTTAACAGTTAAGTAAAATGAAAAATGGTCAGTTTCGATCTATACATTTTTACTGGATACGTATATTATCGTAAATAAGTATATTTAATCAATAATAATCAATAGTAAACTATCTAATAAATAACCCAATTAATAAATCAAATTACAATTTATATAAGGATCATAATTCTGCCTAAAACTAAATTGCAGAAGACCTAGACATTTATCAAATGTTATCATTAAATATAAAAACATCACATATCAGCAGAGTCTACAAAAAATTTCTAATAAAATAAATTTTTATTTTACTTTATTAATCTTTGAACATATTTTAATATACTTATCATTGTGAAAATAAAATTAATGAAATATATAATACAAACAAGGTGTATTTACTATAAGAAAATAAAATCTTAAGGTACTTACAGCTTTTAGATTTTCTTGATTCTGAATGGAATAATTTAATGAGTCTAACAAATCAATGGCATCTACTTCAATACACATCTGTTCCCAAGCAAATGAACTATGACTGGAACCTGCATGATTTTTTGGTTTTTTACTAGTTATAGGAACTGTTATAGGAGATCCAGTTCGTTTTCGGTCTATTTTAAAAATTAAAAATGTATAAGTGATGCATAATAATAACTGTTTTGAATTTAAATAACAGAAATACTATTTATAGAATTCTTGAGCACAGAACATCAGTAATGAATCAATTTACATTGAAGATATACAAATTTATCATTGGTTTTCCATACATTGAAAAACGTCAAATATTTGCCTTACATTTTAAAAATTATTTTACAACTGATGAAGACAAAACAAACCAAAATGAAGAAAAAAACCCCAAAAAAATAAGCAATGAATATCAACCAGTAACCAATTCCATAAATCCCTGTAACTCAAAGGAATTACAACAGACAGTAAATAGATTAGCTAATAATAAAAAGCTCAGGAGACAATCTAATAATAAACAAAATACTTAAAAATCTCACATCAAAATAAACAAAATACAACTCATTGATACAACTAGGTTTTTTTCCTGATGAAAAGAAATATGGGTGTCAGTGTAGCGTGCGATCTACCATTTATATGTGCTCTACCTGTGATCTACCCATTACTATCCAATTCTTTATCATTATAAAAAGAGAGGCGTACTTATCTATATGCTTCAGTCACATTTAGATCTGTATTGTTAGAAGGTGTGACGGAAAAATGAACCGGATTTGTTCATTGATTTCTTAGATGAAATGCGTGCTACATTCATAAATAGCAACTAAAACGAAACTTTTATTTTAAATATTTATTTAACGACACTTATATTATATGGATGTGATTTTAAAATTGTGATTTTTGAAATATGTGTGAGCCCACCTCCTTGTGGTGTATTTTGGGTAATGCTAAGCGGCTCACAAATCACGTTCATCAAAAACAGGCTGGTAGATCGCACTCTACACCAGAAACAAGCTGGTAGATCGCACGCTACACTGGTACCGAAATTTGCAATTTTAATTCCTAAACACAAACCTTGAAAACCAAGTAGTTCACCCAAAAGTTACAAACCTACAAGTCTACTTCTAACCTTTTCAAAAACTCCAAGACATAATTTTACTGTACAAAATTAAACCATTCCTAAAAATTATACTACATCAAATTGGATTACAATTGGATCTAATTAGATTAATTCCACTCAATAGCCCACCAACTACAATGAATCATGAATCTCCAAGATCACGGTAAGTAGTTACAAAAATAAAAATTTATTATGACAGCCTTTCTTGATATATTTCAAGCCTACAATAAAGTACGGCAACCAAGACTTATCTCAAAGATAAGATCTTAGTGTGTTGAAACAATTATAATATAAATAAAAATAATGAAAATAATTTGGATTTATATACAGCCACTAACTTAAATTAATATAAACATATATTACTAACCAAAAAAATAAGAATGAAAAAATACATTTGATTATAAACTAACTTTTTCATCATGGATTATTAGAGAGTATACTCATGATTTAATAGCAATTAATTTAAAGGTTTGAAATAGAAAAAACAAACCATCAATTGGCTCAATAGAAAATCAATTGTGCAAAAAGCAATACATGGTTTGATAGAAAAATATTTTGATGTTTACAGAATTTTAACAACTATAATTTAAAAATTATATGAAATTTCTTTCAACCAAAAATAAACAATAAAATTACAAAAATAAATAACTTCGTATTCCAAATACTCCACTTTGATAGTTATGTTTTAATTCTCAAAATAAAAAACTTAGATAATAAAATTAGTTGCTCCCAAATAATTAACAACTAGAAAAAACATACCAGATAAAGTTGATTCCATCAATTTTCTATGTAATAATATATTACCACTCCGTTTCTCTTGTGGATTTGGTTCGACGCGATTATTTTTAGAACCTAATGCCACCAAATCACCAGGAAGGTAAGCATTTTTCGATTTGCCTCCACGACTCATCTTAGAAGTGTACCGTTAATGCTATTTCAATAATAAATCCAAGTCTCAATTTTTTTGTTGTTCAAAATACAGAATACATTTTGCTCATGTTGGAGGATAAAACTTTTTAATTAAAATTAATGGCAACTTTTTCAAATTAGCTGACAACCAGTGTCATACAGACGCAGAATTCGGAAATTGATAGCTATAAAATAAACCAATGTTTATAAACCTAACTGATAAAAGTTCGTTAACTGTATGGTTACTCTATGGTTACTATGATTACCCTCTCTCTACGTTAGCTCATAGAGTCATGGGTTAGCTCCACTGTCTAGATCTTCTAAGACCGTGATTAGTTCTAACGTATGGTTATAGAATAATAGGTCATGTAACTCTCGATGAAATAACACGCTTTTATTACCATAGACATTGATTTTTTTCATTAATAAATAAATTATTATTATTATTAAATACATATATAGATAATAGAAGAATAATAATAGAAAGGCCATCGAATCTTATCATACGAGAATAAGAGTTGGGGGAGGTTAACTACCAACAGCCCGAATTTAGAGTTACCTCTTTTTGAAATTATATTGGTTATCATAATATTATTATCAAATTGTTATGGAGCCGGAAACATATAAGCATTTGATTATAAATGTATGGAAATGGACATTTTGCCTTATCATTCAGTCTTTTATTTCTATTTATTTTAAGGTTATATAGGTTCCACAGATATTACAATCTGACAATATTATTTTCTGAGATTCTAACTAAACCTTAAAAAGTATCCCAGTCTAGAGTGAGAACCACAATATTTAACATAGAGTAATAGTTACTCTATGATATTTAATGATTTCTCTCTCTGACAAAAAAGACCGTGACCCCATACGTTGTTGTCATTGATATGCCCCATCCATACATCTATTATCAATGCATATAAGCATAGTAGAGCTTACGAGCGTCTAGAGCATAGCTAATAGAATAATAATCTTTTATTATCTATGGTTATACAGGTAGAGACATGATATCGAAAGAAAAGTATCAATACTTTCACTTGGTAACGAATGGAATGAAAATAACGAAACGTAACGACCGATATGAGTATCGAAAAAAAAATATTGATCCTTTTACTTAGTCCTATCATCGTAAAAAATATAATTAAAATATTGATAACAATAAAATATGAAAACGACCTATATGAATAAGTATCAAATGAAAAATTATTTTTATATTTTAAAGTTTTCTTTCTCCAAGTTAAGAAGTTAGTATATCTTAAAATATGCCATTTTATTAATATTTAATTAAAACTAGTTATGGTTCATGAACCACAGATAAAAATGCTGTATGTAAACAAATTTTTTATTGTTTCCGCCAGGTACCTATATCATTATTTGTAATTTAAATTTCATCTAATCGGTATATAAATCAGTAAATCTAAACATATTGTATATTTTGTGCAATACTTTTTACTATTTCCATGGCTAAAAATGAACTCAGTATACATAATTTATGATAAAAAGGTTTATTATAAACCTATTGACACTATTGTATTGTGGACTGTAGTTTCTGGTTCATGGAAATAACAAATACAGTCGTATAAAGTATAGACTTTAGTATGATGACCGAATTTTATAAACAAATTCTCTACCATGC